TCAATTAGTAACTTTCGATATTTACAATCACATTCACAACAAAAAGCATGAACTTCCACCCAATGAGTCAAATAGTCAAAAATAATAATGACATACTCATTGCTAGTAGTCAATTTCAGAAAAAGCCCCATTAGATCAAATGCTACTAGCTTAAATAAATGGGAAATTACAATTACAATTATTAAAAATAATATTTGAAGTGGTTTGGATCTAAAATGGAGAATTCAGCTCATCTTATTTTTTTTATCTTGACAAAATGTCATAGGAAAACAGTATACCGAGAGCTTGTAAACATTGCACCAAAATGAAAAAACACAGTAGGAACACAAGTTAAGAATTGTGTTTTTTGAGAAATATATGTTTAATATATGTACAAGATTAGTCATAAAAATAAATTTGTTTGCTAGACATCAGTTTTTATATCCACCCCAAAAAAATGTTCAGAATGTTTTGCAAGCTCCCAAAACAAATCTATAACATACTAATTGCAACATAAACTTCCAAAATTACTTTCGGAGCCACATTTGTGCTCTTAAAGGATGTGTAGTGAATTTGTGCATTTTAAATCTAAAATTGTACTCCTGGACTAAATATTTACATAACAAAAATCACCCACTAAAAACTTTTGTTCTAAAGAAATTAAGAGAAGGAGAATTTAAAAGCACACTCTCAAAAGTCTATTCTAATGTGTGCCTCTAGCAAGAATGGGTATATACTATACATCTATAATACCCCACATTAGTAAGTTGGTGGACTGATCCTAATGACCATTTTCATAAGCATTTTAGATGTGGAAATCACACCAATAGCATACCACATTCATTTGCCATTAGTGATTTGTTGTATGTTACAATCACTAGTTATATGAGCTTAAAGAATTTGTCATGGATGAGGAAAAATATAGAAACAAAACTAGTTTGATTAGGATGCTAATGACATAATTAAAAAGTATGACAAAAATGGTGGTAAAGCTTGCAAGGCTGATAGTAAAAATGTGCTATATGACCAAATCAACCACAATTGTAATAACCATTATCAAAACTATCTTATGAGTGAGAAAAATTTATGGAAAGAAAGATCTTTTATTAATGCTATAAAAAGGTGTAAAGAAATGGCAATTCTGATTATGAACAATAATGAAATTAATTTTATGACATGCTATGTGTAAATTTTTCCCATATTTGAAAGCACAAAAATAAGTTACTAGTTATTTTCCATGTACTGTGATATCACTAATTGCTTCTTTGTATGTTAGCTCAAATTATTTAGGGAGTTTCAAAAAGTATATTCAGAAGTTAAAAATCAGACAATATATATATATTTTAGACATGAAAACCTTTTTATATTTAAATTAAAGAAAGAAACATGTGTTGTTATGAACAACACATGCAACTTAACTACTTGCATTACATGTATATGGACCCTTACTTGATGTGTTGAATTGGTGTTAGCCTTATTTCAATTGTTCAAGTGTATGTCAACCTTACGGCCTTGAAATAGTTAATAGTTACCAAGCCCATCTTTACACACATGATTTTATTAGTGTCCTTTAGCAGTTAATTATATATCTAGTGGGTAAGAACAATGAGTGGCACAAAGAGTGCCTCCTCCTAGCAACAACAATTGCTACTTGCTTATTATCTAGCTTCATCCAGAGTAATTATTAGATCTAGAATATACTTCTTGCACCACACTTTATTTAGCTTAAAATATGCCTTTAACACTTGCTCTTTTCATATCCATGTCCTATAAGAAGTTCATCATTTGCTTTCACATTCCTAAGATTGATTTTTGCCATATTAAGATAGTTTCTTAGGGTATTTTTGGTGGAGGCTTAAATGTCATTTTGTCTAGCAGTTTTCTTTTTGCTTTCTTTTTATTGAAAATCTTTTTTACTTCTTTGTCCTTGGTCATTGCTATAGTATTTTTCCATAGAAATGATAAACTAGTTATAAACTAAAATAGTTGACATTAAAAGTAATTTAAAGATAAAAGTATTCATGTTGCTCCTTGTTTAGCTTTTTTTTCTTGTCTGGCTGTTCCTCAAGGTTATTAAAATTTTTGTAAATGTCTGAATTCTTGTTCTTTGGGCTCTTGTGTTTTATTAGTGTCATGCTCTTCCTTTGTTTATTTATTATCACTTTATTTTATTTTTCTTATATTTCAATCTTTATAATTTTGGCTACTAGTGTGCTCTTCTTGGTGGGCTTGTTCTTCTCAGAGAGTATCTTCTTCTCCAACTTTGCACTTCCTTGGAAAATCAAAATATGTGAAGAAGTTAGAAGGGAAGCTCAATTGTGTTATAAAATTACTTACCTCAGTGATGCAGTAGTATGTATCATTTTTTGGACTCTAGAGTATTTATTTAGACACCATGTTATTAACTCTCTAAGAACCTATGCCTTGGCACTATCTTGTCAAAGAAGAGGTCATATAACCAAACACTATTCAAACCCAAAGATACTAACCCTAAATATCTTAACATTTTTTACATTAACTTATGCAGCATTTTTATTCATAAACCTTTTCCTTCTATATTTAAATTTCAATCAAATTATTCTATTTAGTTGTTTACATCCACCACCATATCTAATAACTACTAATGTTAACATTTCTATCAACCTTGGATTTACTTGCTCATTTCCTTTCAATACTTGACTTGAGAGATTGGATATCTTTACATAACCTTTCCAAAGACCACTTTGGAGTGAACATGCCTGAGGAAATAACTATATATTACTATATATGAATGGGTATCTATAAATAGAAATACTGCAATCATCTTTACTATCAGAGTGGTAGTGTAGCTCCATTACAAAAAAAAAAATGTTGACAATAAGCTTATAAAATCCAAAAGTGATCTTATATAGGAGATTTTCTGGGTGTTTTATATCTATCAAAATTACTGAATTCATAAGTGGTTTTAAGAAGAGTTTAAAGTGTGGTTTATTCATCAATTTATTTCATTTTTTAGGTTTATCTACTGTTTATTGATTAGTTAAATAGACAGATTTATATATGGTTTGTAATATTAATTTATTATTAAACCATAAATAAGGTAGTTTCCAAATTTACATATGAAACTTGACCTAGTTAGAGAAATTTATTATTGGGGTTAGTGTTGTTTAGCTGGTTAGTGATGGTTTACTAAACACAATTAGATTTTAATTTGTAAGTTAGTTTTTAAGATAAATCACCATAAAATGATGAACAGTATTTTCAATATATTTTATTAAAATTGAAGATATTTTGTTTATACTTGTTTTTTTCTAAGATTAAAATTTGGTTTTGGAACAAGTTTATTGACCTGATTATAGTATGGTTTCAAAAATGGTTTTCAATTGAGTTTTTAATCTGGGTTTTTATCAGTAACAATATATGTATTTTTAAGTGGCTTTAACAAGAGTTTATTCATCAGTTATTTCTTTTGTAGGTTTTTATTCAGACTCACTATATTATTTATTTAATATTTCGTATATGTTGTTATAATGGTTTGCGTTATTAGTTTACTAGAGTTGGTTTATTAAGAATAATTACAATACAATTAAGCTGAATTTTTATTAGTTATGAGATTTATGAAGTTGTTAGATTTATAGGTTCTTATATTATTAGGTAAAAGGGTTTGTAAGTGAACATACATATAGTGGGCAGTATAATGAGGAAAATAGAGTTATCCTAATCCTAATGTTTCGACCACTTGCGAAAATGTAATCGTTATTGTCAATCTTTATAGCTACATTAACTTATGCAGCTAGCCAAGCTAGAAGCCTTGTGCTTTGTCAATCTGTAGAGCTGATATATCAACAGCAGTTCTGTCAAGAGCTGAAACTTGGATGGCATGTATGCTCTCTGAGATCACGTGATCAAGCTAAATTTAGGGCTTTCCAAGACACTCTGTTTTGTAATGGAGATAGCTTGAGTGAAGATAGATTGAGTCAGAGCACCGTTTTCCATGCCAGTGACAAAGCTGGAATCAAGCAATGCGGACTCGTAACGAAAAGGTTGTTCATAACTTTGACTGGAAAGAAAGGTTGTCATTCTCGATCTTCCAGTATGGTTCAAGAAAGCATCCCACTAGTGCTGACGTTGAGACGAGGACTAACCACAGAATTGGATTGTCTTGGCAGTCAACTTGTTTTGTTCTTAGTCTTGGTGTTGGTGTTCAAAAAAAGATGTAGAAGCTGAGCATAAAGTCCTTTTGAGTTATAAGAAGAAATAAGAAAATTTTAAAAGATGAATAAGTTGTAGTTAGTGGTGAATATTTCTGCCTGTCACATGGACGACGCCCGGGAACAGCAATCCTCTCATTTTTTATCCTGATGCTTGGAGTGCCTTGATCTTAAATCCATGCTAGTGACATCCTCTCTTTGGGAAAGAACAGGAGCTGGATTTTTTTCTCAAGAACAAGCTCATTGAGATGTATGGCGGCGCTGCAGAGGCTTTTGATGGGATGAGCAATAGGGACTTGTTTTCTTTGGAGATCATTACTCTCACTCAGTTGGCGAGATATTTGGGAAATTGCCTCACAAAACTCTGGTGGTGTGGTACATCATCCTGTCGCAATTGGGTACATTCAAGAAGCTTTTGAGAGGATGCCGCGGTGGAATCTAGTCTCTTGGAACTCATGTTTACTGCATATGCCCCGTCAGGCTATCTGGAGCAAGCTCAAAAACCCTTTTCTTCAAGGGAATGCTTGTTGTGTTTATGAAGATGGCAGACGCCGAGAGAGTGCATGAGATGTTCAATTTTATGCCACTGTTCAATCTCATCACTTGGAACACTCTCCTCGCCATGCTTACCTTGGCCAAGGTGGTCTTTCTGAAAATTCCAGAACGGGACATACACAATGCTCGCTCATGGTTTGAGTGTCGAAGAGGCATTCAGCTACATGCCCGAGTGCATCTCTTCTTGTGGACAAGGACGTTCATTTTCAAAGGCGAATATGCTTAAATGCTAACTGTTGGTATTAGAAACTCGTGAAAATCAGGAGACACAAGCTATCAGTACTTCTTCCCAGTTTTCCTCACACTTTTCTTTGCAGTTCTCTTTCCTGTGAGGGCATTCTTGAGTGTCTTGATGGTCTCTGTGTTCACCTTGAAGGCCTTGCTTAAAACTTGATCGTCGATGCCTGATGCAAAGATGGTGGCAGGGATGGAAACAGTGCCAGCATTGGAGCTCCCAAACGCCGAGATGGCCTTCGTTGCATACTGTCCATCGTTGAATTGGAAGTGGACGAGACCCTTCGGAAACACGAATGCATCGCCTGTCTCGAGCTTCTGGACGAAGAGCTTGTTGGTGGTGTCCACCAGGCCAACAGTGAGAGAGCCCTCTAAAACCAAGAGGAGCTCCGAGGCCCGGGGATGGATGTGGGGGGGATTGACTGAGCTTGACTGAAAGATGAGCCTGGCCATGGAGACGCCAAGACCACCCAGAGCTACAAATTCCGCGAGCGATGCCTTCTGCACCATGAAAGCTCCTGCTGGAGGGTTGGGTTCGCTGCGAAAGCCAGTGAAAGTGAAGAAGCTCGTGTTGGTGGATGAGGAATCAGCATCGTAATCCGAGACCAGCTCCGGGTCTGCAGCAAAAACTCCGGAAGAAATGCATAATACAGCACCCCTCACTCTTACGTGGTTGCCCCTTTGCCACGCTCACTCCTCACGTGCAGCATGCCTCACTCTTACGTGGTTGCCCCTGTGCCAAGCTCACTCCTCGCGTCCTCCGTGGCGTGTTTAGTCTGCACCCTAAATGTTTAAGAGAACCCATTGCCGCGATCATTAGGTTATTAAACTATGTATTTGAAAGGGATTCTCTTAAACATCACGATTGCATCGTTAAACTCCACAATTGCACCTAGGAGGCTGTTCCACAAGCAGCAGTCCCACTCGGGCATCTCGAAGATTTATCTCTTTAATTTATAATAATGAGGTGGCATGCAAATCCAAATAAGCAAATGGGGCCCACTCTAAATAGGGGGGTGGGGGGTGGTGGTGGTGGTGGTGGTGCTGTATTATGCATTCTACCCAAAACTCCTACCACGACAATAGCTGGCAAGAAGAAGATCACTAGCGAAGACATTGGCACCATAAAAGAGTTATATGCTCACTCGAGACTAGGAAAGAAAACTTGCTCTTTGAGCTACTGATACTCCAACGCATGGAATTCTTCGAGCTTTTATACCCGGGCAATCTTCTAACAAGACCGCGTTATTCCTCCGGCAAACGAGTCTCCCCTTGAGCAAAGCGATCCACCTTTGTTTGATCTACGAGCCCATTTGTCTCATCCACTGTTTCATACAAGTTTGTTTTTGTGCTTGTTTTTGCGATGGAGCCACACCATAGCTCCGAGCTAACTAACACTTCCCACACAGATTTACCCAGCGCTTCACATCCACACAGCGATTGCTGGAAGAGACACTAGGAGAACACAAGCAGCACTCACCACCACACAGCAGCTCTGGAGGAGGCGGCCAACAGACTGGAACGCAGGCCACAGATCGGTGATCAAACCGATCACGCGTGGTAATGGCTCTAGCGGACCAAGTAAGCCATTGTAGCACCGTCGGCCTTGTTGCAATCCTTCCCTTGTGCGTCCGCGAGGAGATGCCAAGCTTGTGAAGAGAAGAAGAGAGAACACGCTTCATCTCCAAAAGGCACAAGAAGAAAAGAGAAACGATGGGAGAACCTTATCTCTATAGAATGAAGTAATGGTTCTTCTGGGACATGTGTAACACTGTGCGCTCCATGCGAGTGCTTAAAGAGTGCGTGCCAAGTGTCTCTAGAGAAGGAAGGAAAAATATGAGTGCTCCAACTCCAAGAGAAATGATGATGATGAGGACGAAGGTGGGCTGGCGCTGCTAAGCTATGTGCCCGTCATGATCGCTCCACAAGGTGTGATGGTAAGAGTGTCTCGGCCGTGGCTGTGCTCGCTTTCGTCCCAAAACCAGCGGGAAGTTTTTGGGAGCTTGAGGAGCGGCGTATTGAACGAGTGCTGCTCGAGCCTCTTGCGATTTCCTCTGCGGTGCCTGTGCAGCCACGAGCTCGAGAAGAGCTGCGTCAACGTAGCCAAGTTTGCAGAAAATCCTGTGGAAACGATCACTAGCTTTCATCTTGGTTTGTATGTGGAAAAGGAAAAAGTTAATGAGAGGACAAAAATGGATCTTCTTCTTACTCCAGCTTTTAAGTGGAAGGTTTATGAGACCAAGGCTTAGCAAAGGGCTCCATGAATTTTCCAATGTCTGCGCAGTGAACATTAGCAGAAATAAAAGACAAAAGGGTGAAGCTAATGATAAAACCCCAGCCCCAAGCACAAGAGACACAATGCTTGGAGCTGACAAAAACAGGCATGGAGCTCATCTTGTTCACACATGAACATTGTGAGAAAGAAAGTAGCTGACACCATTTCCAGCATCCAAGTCTGGGCTTCTCCTCCAAAGATAATTGCCTGCAGAGATTAGGTAACTCCACCATGGCCAGTCACTCAAGAAAAAATAAAACTGCTTGTTTAACCTGCTGCCATCATGATCATAAGTCTGCTTGCTCCGGATCAAGACTGTAGCAGAGCAGGGAGTGATGATTTCCCGCCTCGCCAGTGTTGCAGTAGAGAACCAGCAACCTGCAGAGACACTGCCTTTGCGACGAGCTGTGATCATCCCTCTCATCAAGTTGGAGTCAAAGCCTCTACGACCTGGATAGGAGATCTTTACCTAGAATATGTTTAAATATTTTAAGATATATTGTATGGTTGTTATTTATTTAGATTAATTTTATATTTTATAATTTATAAAATTTCTTAAACAGTTTCTAGTATATTCTAGTTTATTTGATATGCAATAAGATTAATTATAAATATGTTTGTGAGTGCATGGAATATGGAAAGGGAATACAGAAATGTGCATATCAATTAGCCCAAAAACCCTAGCTTATATACAGGAGCGAGTGGTCCGGATTGAAACCAATCCGACGGCTACCAAAATCCACTACGCTAATATTAGTATACGGCATCGTAGCCGTACACTTGGCCCTCACATCATCCCCTCCTCTCGGAATAATGGAAGGCCGTCAGGGTTCTCTTGTAGATGGGCCGGGATCTGGAGGAACGTCAGGAGGAGGCATCGGTGGATCTGTAAACGGTATTAACTGCTCCTGATCCCTTTGTATGAAGCGTTTTAACCACTACACATGCACAATCTCCGGAGGATCAGCTTGCTGAACATCATGCCGAACCTTATAAACTTGTGGTCCAACTTGCCGCAACACCCGATACGGTCCTTTCCACTGCACAAGGAGCCCCTTAGATAAACCACGTACCATAAGATGGGGAAAACGGACTAACACCAAATCATCCACTTTGTACTCCGCTGGTGAACGATGATGGGAATTGTAGCGCCGTTGTTGTCCCACTTGTATGCGGCCTAAGTGTTCAGTAGACTCTGCTTGGACAAGTGGAAGAATGCTTGTCAAATATTGATCCCATGACCTAGCATCAGGAGCTCGTGGCAATCGCGAAGGTAAACCCACTCTATTGGTAATATTGGATCATGACCATATAGAAGTTTATATGGTGAAGCACCAACAGAACTCTACACCCCTGTGACATAAGCATACCGAAGAGACGGCAAATAACCATCCCAATCCGAATGTTGAAAGTTCACATACTTCGCAATCATCCCTTTGAATGTCCGAACAAGCCGTTCCACCAGACCGTCTGATTGTGGATGATAAGCACTCGTAAAAGTGTGGCGTATCCCCAACCGAGATGTCAAAACATGAAATACCTCAGCCATAAATGCAGGACCATTATCCGAAAGAATCCGTTCTGGACAAGAATGCTGGAACACCACTTGATTGAGGAGGAAGTATCCAACAGCAGTTGCAGAGGCACTAGCAAAAGCACCAACTTCCACCTAACGAGTCAAGTAGTCAGAAGCAATAATAACATACTCATTGCCAGCAGTCGATCGCAGAAAAGGTCCCATAAGATCAAACGCCACCAACTCAAACGGACGAGAAACTGCAATTGACTCCAACCGTCCTTCCGCAGCACAAGGGGGAGTATTACGAGCTTGGCACCAAACGCAGCTACGCACATACTGGATAATATCACGTCGCATCTTTGGCCAATAGAAAGATCTGCGCAGTTTCTCGATGACACGACGGTGTCCCATATGCCCACCTAGAATAGGAGAATCATGGTAGGCATGGAGAAACTGCAGAATAAACACTGAAGGAACCACCAGCCGTAAATGAGCATTAGGATCCATCCCCACAAAATAAAGAAGGCCATCTTCAAGGCGATATTGAGAATGTAAATGCCGAAAAGGCAAGTCATCAGCAAGTGATGCAGGATTCTCAAACCCATCTCGAAGCCTTCGAATCCACGGCTCAATCTTTTGAGCCTCGCGAACCTCATCCAGAGAAGGTAGATCTTGCTCTACGCCCTGTGGACACTGAACGTCAAGGATAGCAACCGCCGACGGCATAGAATCCTCATCTAGAAAATCCACAGATGCTAGAACAACAGGTTCGTCAGAAACATGAGAAGTGAGTGGAGAAGAAAGAGGAGCTCGAGAGAGGGCATCAGCATCAGCCATAGAACTCCCTGGGCGATGAACAACATCGAAATCATATATCTGAAGCTTCAAAGCCCATCGAGCCGTACGACCAACCAGGTTCTTCCGCTTCAATAATGAAGTAACAGCAGCATGGTTACCTTCAAGTAACGTCCGAGAACCATGTAGATAGGCATGAAGTTTCTCGAAACCCCAGACCGCTGCTAAACACTCCTTCTCCGTCGTGGAGTAGTTCATCTCCGCTGGTTGTAATGTACGGCTTATGTATGCAATGGGATGGCGCTGACCAGGCACACTCGAGCTCTCTTGCATCAACACACCTCCAAGACCAATGTCATAAGCATCCACGCGCAAAATAAAAGGTCGAGTGTAGTCAGGATATGCCAAAACCGGAGGAGTCGTCAATAGCTCTTTGAGATTCACGAACGCCCGCTCACAATCGGGAGACCAGATGAAAGATGACATTGATGACTTCAGCAACGCTCGCAATGGTATAGTGCGATCGGAAAGATGATCCACAAAACGACCGAGATACTGCACCTTACCCAAAAAGCGCTGCACATCATTCACACACTTCGGAGTAGGGAACTTTAGAACAGCCACAAGTTTGTCAGGATCAACTTGCAAAGGTTATTCCCCATGTCTACAGGCATCCTAAGGATGCTAAGGAGTGGATTTGGGATGACCACTCATGGACGAAAGGCCCAGTCTTGAAGAGACGGGGTTGCAATGCAGGTGGTGTTAGACCACTGATGAGACCAAGGTGAATGGTCATGGCCTAGCGTAACGGGTTGGTATGTTGGTGGTACCTTGGGTGTCGGTCATGGGATTGGACATGTGGAGCACTTGGACCATGAGTGGCGGGGATGCCATTCTTAGGGCTAGCAACCCAAGTCTAAATAAGACTTATGGAGGTTGTGAGTGAGACTCCTCCAAGTGGTTGGAAATGTGGTTAAGTGACTAAAGTAGAATGGAAAAATTAGTCGCTTACATTAACTTTTGTATCATTTAGATCTAGCATTTTCCATTTCCTTTCTTTTGTTATTTTCTTTTAGGATTTTGGTTTAAATCTAACTTTTTGTATTGTTTAGATCTCCCTTTCCTTCTAGCTTTTTGTTATTTCTCTTATTTTGCTCTTTCCTTTTCATTCATATTTATGGCAAATCAGCAATCTCCTTCTTTGACTTTGGAGTAG